AAAATAATAATCAAATCACCAGAATTATGCTTATGTACTTATACTAATTACCCTACTCTAATGCTAATATTAGAGTGGTGAGTTGGATCAGGTGATGGGAGAGGATGCTAGACCTAAATGTATAGTGAGGGTGCGCTGGGAATGCCTGGCAGACGCCACAAGATCTTCAGCTCCCACCTCCAGCAGAGCATCTACAACACAGGTGTCCAGCTCCAGGTCTGGAGGACCGGTGTCCTGCAGGTTTTAGATATGTCCTTGAACCAACACAGCTGATTTAAATGGCTAAATTATCTCCGCAACATGTCTTGAAGTTCTCCAGAGGCCTGGTAATGAACTAATCATTTGATTCAGGTGTGTTGACCCAGGCCCTCCAGCAGGACACCGGCCCTTGAGGCCTGGAGTTGGACACCCCTGATCTACAGCATTCTGAGACACGAGACACTGAGTCTAAATGGACCTGCATTGCTGAAACTGCTGCACTGAGCTGCAGCTACAAGATTGTTGGTGCCTGTTGTGATGGTATACCCTGAACACCAGAGGTGGACACTAGGGGTGAAGGGAACCACCAGGCTTTAGATGGAGTCCTATTGGGCTTGGTTAGCCTGTGGGACTTTGGAGGCAGCCAATAGGTACTAACAGGCCAAGTGGAATGTGGTGACAGCAGTGGCTGAAGCAAAAACTCGGGTGTGGGAGGAAAGACAATGGAAAAAAACTTCCAAACTGCCTTGAAGAGATTCTGGCAAACTGTCAGGCGACTCAGAAAGGAAAAGTGGTGCTCTACCTGCACTGTGTATAGTGTGCTGACTTCGCTGCTGACTTCAATTGGGGTGGCTGTAGCTCAGGAGGTAGAGTAGGTCGTCTACTGATCAGAAGGTTAGTGGTTCGATCCCTGGCACCTCCAGTCTAAGTGGGGCATGAGATGTCATTATTTTCTGATTTCTGTACCGTTAGCTGGAAGCCACTGCAGACTGGAGCACACGAAAAACAAGAAACTCATTCAACAGTAATGTGCTAATCTGCATATCACATTGAATTACTCGTTATTTGAAGGTGTTCTTAATGCTGTTCTGGATTATTCTGCCTTACATCTATACCAGGTGCTTCAAGTGGTCAAAGAGGTTTTCTGGGCTGCATGCGAGCTCTGAAGATTAATGGTGTGACCTTTGACCTGGAGGAATGGGCAAAAGGGACTTCAGGTGTGAATCCAGGCTGCCAGGGCCACTGCAACAGCTACAGGATGCACTGCAGAAATGGAGGAAAGTGTGTAGAGCATTACAATGGTTACTCCTGTGACTGCTCCCTTACTGCTTACGATGGACCCTTCTGCACTGATGGTATGACCAACACCCTGTTTGAGATTAGATGGGTTCAGATTTAATAATCAATAAGAATTTCCGCTATGTTTTAATGTTCTTTATTCTTTAATTATACGTTAGATGTAGGCGGCTACTTTGAGACGGGGACATTGGTGCGTTACGACTTGCTGCCAGAGGGGGGACCTTTTGCATTGAGGGACATGAAGAGTCTGTCAGGTGTTGGTGTTTCAAGTGAGGCCAACCTGACTCAGGAGGAGCTTGTGTTCAGCTTCAGCACCTACAGTGCTCCCAGCATTCTTGTCTACATCAGTTCCAGAACTCAGGACTACTTGGCTGTGGTTCTCAGACACAATGGTAGGCTTATTAGTGTCATATCTGATACATTTAATGTGTTCTCATCTTTATAAACTTTATCTAGGGTGGTCTCCGTGCCAAATATACTTGGGAGAGATACTCAGCCCAAGTGGCACTCTGATGCATCGGAGTGTCGGTGTAAATGTTAGATAGCAAGCACCTTTGTAGAAGAACAATTGAAAAAAAGTGCTTGTGTGAATGGATGAATGAGGCAAGTTGTAGAAAACACTTTGAATGCTCAGAGTAGAAAAGTGCTATGTAAGAACCAGTCCCTTTACCATTTATGAACTGTAAGAAATGTACGTATTTCTTTGTGTTTTCAGGCACTCTCCAGATCCGCTACAGCCTTGGAGGACTCACAGAACCGTATACCATAGATGTTGACCATCGTAACATGGCCAACGGTCAGCCACATTCTGTCAACATAACTAGGAACTTAAGGGAGATACGGCTACAGGTTAGTGAATCCTGCCACTACAATACGCGATGAATTGCAAAATGCAGTCAAGTTAATAATAAAAGTCTTCAGCTGAAAATTCTTTTAGTTTGAAGCTGTAGCAAATATTTAATAGTGAGTATTAAGTTTGTATTAGGAGTGATTTAATGCAGCACTTTTTGCTGGAATGTCATCAAAGACACAATTTATAACAAAGACTTATTATATAGAATAATTATTTACATGCTGTTACCCCTGTGTTACTGAGAAATGTATGTGTAAGTTCTTTGTTGCTTTCACAAATTTTTTTCCATGTGGAAATAGAAATAACAGAAGCTAGGAATTTTTCTTTAGCTGGAGATACACGCTGCTTCAAAACTTAGTATTAGAAAATATACACTAACCACTATCAAACGTTTGGACACAGCTTCTCATTTAACGGTTTTTCTTTATTTTCAAGACTTTTTACATTTTAGATTCTCAGTGAAGGCATCAAAACTATGAATGAACACATGAAATTATGTAGTAAACAAAAGTGTGAAACAACTCAAAACATGTTTTATATTTTAGATCCTTCCTAACAGCCGCCTTTGCTTTGATTCCTGCTTTGCTCACTCTTGGCGTTCTCTCCATGAGCTTCATGAGGTCGTCACCTGAAACGGTTTCCAACAGTCTTGAAGGAGTTCAGAGATGCTGAGCACTTGTTGGCCCTTTGCCTTCACTCTGCGCTCCATCTCATCCCAAACCATCTCCACTGGGTTTATGTCAGGTGACTGTGGAGGCCAGACCATCTGGTGCAGCACTCCATCACTCTCCTTCTTGGTCAAACAGCCCTCACACAGCCTGCAGGTGTGTTTGGGGTCATTGTCCTGTTGAACAATACATGATGGGATGGCATGTTGCTGCAGGATGCTGTGGTAGCCATCCTGGGTCAGTGTGCCTTCAGTTTTGAATAAATCCCCAACAGTGTCACCAGTAAAGCCCCCCACACCAGCAAACCATCAACTCCATGCTTCATGGTGGGAACCATGCATGTAGAGACCATCGTTCACAAAGACACGGCGGGTGGAATCAAAGTTCTCCAATTTGGACTCATCTTGTGCTCCTTGGCCCAAACAAATCTCTGCTTGTTGCTTTTCCTTAGTCGTGGTTTCTCAGCAGCTGTTTGACCATAAAGGCCTGATTCCCACAGTCTGCTCTGAACATGTAGAGATGTGTCTGCTACTGGAGCTCTGTGTGGCATCTATCTGGGCTCTAATCTGAGCTGCTGTTAACTTGTGATTTCTGAGGCTGGTGACTCGGATGATTGTATCCTCAGCAGCAGAGGGACTCCTGGTCTTCCTTTCCTGGGGCGTCCTCATGTCAGACAGTTTCATCGTAGTCTTGATGGTTTTTCTGACTGCACTTGGGGATACATTCAAAGTTTTAGCAGTTTTCTGGACTGACTGACCTTCAGTTCTTATAGTAATGATGGGCTGTTGTTTCTCTTTACTTAGCTCATTGGTTCTTGCCATAATATGAACTCTAACAGCTGTCAAACATGGCTGTCAGCTGTGCACCAACCTGACTGCTGCACAACACGACCGATGGTCCCAACACCATTAAGAAGGCAAGAAACTCCACCAATGAACCCTGACAGGCTCACCTGTGAGGTGAAACCATCTCAGGTGACGACATCATGAAGCTGAGAGAAGGCCGAGGGTTTGCAGCTGGGTGGCTACTTACAGGAATCTAAAATATAAGACATATTTAGTATGGCTTATGTTCAAGTTAACGCAGCTTTCACAGTATCAAAAAAGTAACACTGGCACTAATCGTATCACTCAATGCAGCATTTGACAAAGTAAGCTGGAAATTTCTGTTTGCAATATTTAAGAAATTTGGATTTGGAGAATCATTTATTAGTTGGATAAGAGCGTTTTACACATCGCCAGTGGCCACAGTCACCACCATTGGGTTAATTACACAAAGCGTTACTCTTCACACTGGTGCCAGGCAAATATGTCTAGCTGCTACTATAAGACAAAATGGCAATATTAAAGGTATTTCAATGTCTAATATACAACAAAATTCTTCTTTATGTAGATGTTTTATTGCTCCTTCAGGATCCCCACTCTTTGCAGCAAACATTTGGGTTATAGATTTGCTTTCAGAAGTCTCAGCTTCTCTATAACCTGGTCGAAATCCACTATTTTGCCACTCTGTATGGATGAGGAGGACCGGGCAGATCTTAAATATTAAATATTAATGTTTCCTCCAAGCTGACCAAATCCTGTTCAGCATGAATTTCACCCCCTTGCTTAAATTGGTTCAAAAGAATCATCCATCCATCCGTCCATCCATCCGTCCGTCCGTCCGTCCATTTCACAGGGAAAGAACCTTCTATTAGATTATATATCCTAAGAAAAAAAGTCACCTGCTCTCAAACGGAAATCAGCTGAGTTCAATAAAAACTGGTCCATTATCATCACTAAAATAATGTATGCTACTGCCTGATATATCTTAATTTTTTTTCCCCTCTCTCCTCGTCTCCCATTTCACATCCTAATCACCTCTAACCACCTTTGATTCCCCCTTGTACACAAACAAAAAACAAAAACGCAAAACCGTTTAACCTGATCACCGATCCACTTATAAACAGGCTTTCTCCTTTGGCTCTGGGGGCTAATCTAAAGGGGGCCATACACAGGGTTCCCTCCAATCAGGTCTGGGGGCAGCCCAGAGCTCTATGGTCCTAACTCCAAAAAGGAAGAGAGCAGTGGGTGCCAGTGGCTTGGGATGTAGAGCAGATTGTCCAATAAACAGAGGGCTGGTGGTTCGAATTCTGCTCCATACCAGTCGTATTATTACCAGTCATTCAAGACTTCAACACTGGTGTGAGTGGGTGAATGAACCAAGTTAAGTAAAGCACTTTGAGTGTTTAGAAAAGAGCTATATACGAACTAGTCCATTTACCAAAAAGGAGGGGGGCGTATGAAAGGAAAGAGAAAAAGACCTTTCCTACCCTGCAGGCAAAGCCTCTGAATCATCCCTCCAGCTTATTTTAGCAGAATACCGCTGTGAGCTATTATATTCTTCTTATAACGATGTTACTGTTGTCATGGTCATGACTGTTATTGTTCATAGCTGGTCATTGGTCATACTTATGGCTATTATTATCGTCATTATTATGATTGATGGTGATAATACTGAGTTAATGTTGCTTTAACTATTATTATCATTATTGTTATAATTGTCTCCTAAATTACATTAATCCTGGACTGAATACATTAACACGTCACGCTCACTTCACTCTCACTACTCACAATCACACTTGTATTATTTTCTTCCAACTCTTATATCTTATCATAATTATTATTATTATTATCATGATAATAAAAAAGAAAGTAGTAAAAATAAAGGAAAACCATTAAATAGGAATGTGTGTCCAAACCCTTGACTGGTAGTGTATATATTTCTTAAAGTCACTACTTTGAGATAAGCTGCTAAAGGTGCTAGTTTGATATATTGATAGTCAGAGTAGAAAAATGTATTTAAACCCTGAGTTCACCTGAATTGCAAATTGTAATTAGTTGCAATTGTAAATTACATCTGCTGAAAGAATAATTCTATTATAAAAAGTACATCAAATTATATTAAAAAACTAGTTTTTAGCTTAAACAAACTTCTTTTCACCAAATCAAGGACAGGAGTCTTAAAACTTGCCAAAGTTTAAATAAGATTCAGTTTATCAGTTAAACTTGACTGTTGCTTTTCTCTGTCCACATTATCCAGCTGGACCATTATCCAGTGTCCACATATACGCTGCCTGAGGCCTCTGACACCCAGTTCACTTTGGTCAAAAGTATCTTTCTTGGCAAAGTCTTTGGTGAGTCTAGAGATTTGTGTGTGTGTGTGTGTGTGTGTGTGTGTGTGTGTGTGTGTGTGTGTGTGTGTGTGTGTGTGTGTGTGTGTGTGTGTGTGTGTGTTTATATGGCTCCTGTTTTTGCATGACTGACTCCATGAAGGGATGCTGAGTGATGTTCTATGATCTGAATATTGTCCTATTTATTCTTGTACCAGTCACTTATTAACTTTTTTGTGTGCCTTTTTTCCTACCTGAAATGTTGAGCTTCTACTTCTTAGAATCCAAATATGTTTTGTGTTGAAAAAAATAAAATAAAAATGAAGTAAAAAGTAGAAATGGCATTTAGCTTTTACTGTTTCTAATATCATTAGAGCAACACTACAGGGTGGGCCATTCATATGGATACACCGTAATAACATGGGAATGGTTGGTGATATTAAAGTCCTGTTTGTGGCACATTAGTATATGTGAGGGGGCAAACTCCTCAAGATGGGTGGTGACCATGGTGGCCATTTAGAAGTCGGCCATCTTGGATACAACTTTTGTTTTTTCAATAGGAAGAGGGCCATGTGACACATCAAACTTATTGGTAATGTCACAAGAAAAACAATGGTGTGCTTGGTTTCAACAGTAACTTTATTCTTTCATGAGTTATTTACAAGTTTCTGACCACTTATAAAATGTGTTCAATGTGCTGCCCATTGTGTTGGATTGTCAATGCAACCCTCTTCTCCCACTCTTCACACACTGATAGCAACACCGCAGGAGAAATGCCAGCACAGGCATCCAGTATCCGTAGTTTCAGGTGCTGCACATCTCGTATCTTCACACCATAGACAATTGCCTTCAGATGACCCCAAAGATAAAAGTCTAAGGGGGTCAGATCGGGAGACCTTGGGGGCCATTCAACTGGCCCACGACGACCAATCCACTTTCCAGGAAACTGTTCATCTAGGAATGCTCGGACCTGGCACCCATAATGTGGTGGTGCACCATCTTGCTGGAAAAACTCAGGGAACGTGCCAGCTTCAGTGCACAAAGAGGGAAACACATCATCATGTAGCAATTTCAAATATCCAGTGGCCTTGAGGTTTCCATTGATGAAGAATGGACCCACTATCGTTGTCCCCATATACCACACCAAACCATCACTTTTGTTGTTCCAACAGTCTTGGAGGGATCCATCCAATGTGGGTTAGTGTCAGACCAATAGCAGTGGTTTTGTTTGTTAACTTCACCATTCACATAAAAGTTTGCCTCATCACTGAACAAAATCTTCTGCGTGAACTGAGGGTCCTGTTCCAATTTTTGTTTTGCCCATTCTGCAAATTCTGTGCGCCGATCTGGGTCATCCTCGCTGAGATGCTGCAGTAGCTGGAGTTTGTAAGGGTGCCATTTGTGAGTAGCTAATATCCGCCGAAGGGATGTTCGACTAATGCCACTCTCCAGTGACATGCGGCGAGTGCTACGCTGTGGGCTCTTGCTGAATGAAGCTAGGACAGCCACTGATGTTTCTTCATTAGTGACAGTTTTCTTGCGTCCACATTTTGGCAAATCCAACACTGAACCAGTTTCACGAAACTTAGCAAGCAGTTTGCTGACTGTAGCATGGGAGATGGGTGGTCTCGTAGGGTGTCTTGCATTGAAATCTGCTGCAATGACCCGGTTACTGCGTTCACCAGATATCAACACAATTTCGATCCGCTCCTCACGTGTTAACCTCTTCGACATGTCAATGGCTGTGAACAAAGAGAAACTTGTAAATAACTCATGAAAGAATAAAGTTACGTTGAAACCAAGCACACCATTGTTTTTCTTGTGACATTACCAATAAGTTTGATGTGTCACATGGCCCTCTTCCTATTGAAAAAACAAAAGTTGTATCCAAGATGGCCGACTTCTAAATGGCCACCATGGTCACCACCCATCTTGAGGAGTTTGCCCCCTCACATATACTAATGTGCCACAAACAGGACTTTAATATCACCAACCATTCCCATGTTATTACGCTGTATCCATATGAATGGTCCACCCTGTATATCAAAAAAAGGACAATCTCACTTAGTAGTACAGGGCTCTGATGATGTAAGGGTGGCCTAGAAGTCAGAGGGTTTAACTTTAAAACCTAACCTTAAAAGGTAAGTTTATTGGATTGTGAACAATAAACACATTTAAAACATTGCTATTATATTATCTTTGTTATTTAAAATATTTAAATATTTATTCACAGTGAATATTTTAAAGACTAACATGCTTTTAGGCCCAAAAAAGAGTTTCAGTCGTAGTTGCATTGGGCGAGGCCCCCGCCTGTATCACTGAGCTTCTTCAACCCTACTCTCCAACTCCAATGATAGTGGTCTCCTGACTATTCCACGGAGACGTTTAAAAACAAAGTGGGATTGCGCTTTTCAAACCCTACCTCCAGTACTGTGGAACTGTTTACCTCCCCCGCTACGCTCCATCGACTCTGTGACTTCTTTTAAAAAACAGCTTAAAACACATTTGGGTAATGTTTGTGTGTAATATGTTGTTTTGTTTGATATGCTTTTATATTCCCATGTGAAGCACTTTGTTATAGCTTCTTGTCTTAAAAAGTGCTATATAAATAAATTTTGCTTACTTGCATTGCTTCCAGAAAAAAACTATTAAAGCTGCTTTCTCTTTCTTTTAGAAACAGGCCAGATTGACCCCATCCTGATCGAGCGCTACAACACACCGGGTTTCATGGGCTGCCTGTCAAGAGTTCAGTTTAACAGTGTAGCACCGCTGAAAGCTGCCCTGCGCTCCAGCATAGCAGCACCTGTCAGCACCCATGGGATACTGGTTCCTTCAAACTGTGGAGCCTCCCCCCTGACCATCTCCCCCATGGCTTCAGCCAGAGACCCCTGGCACATAGAAGGTGGTAGAAAAACATAGAACATAGGAAAGGGGTGTCCAACTCCAGGCCTCGGGGGCCGGTGTCCTGCAGGTTTTAGATGTGTCTTTGATCCAACACAGCTGATTTAAATGGCTAAATGACCTCCTCAACATGTCTTGAAGTTCTCCAGAGGCCTGGTAATGAACTAATCATGTGATTCAGGTGTGCTGACCCAGCGTGAGATCTAAAACCTGCAGGACACCGGCCCTGATGCCTGGCGTTGGACACCCCTGACATAGGGTTTCAGCATACATAGGGGCATGCCACTGTAAAATTCTAAAGTTTCTCAGGATTCAGATAGATAACAGATGTTTGCTTTGTTCACAGCTGGAGCTGTTTTCAACCTCAATGAGGACAAGTTCAGTGGTGATGGTGTGGATCGCAACTCGGCTGTCATAGGAGGTATGTTTAGTTTTAAGTATACCAGGATTCTGAGCTGCTGTTTTTGTCGATATAATTGGAAAATGCACAGATTGATGTACATAAAACGAGGTGATGTATGATTTTAAAACTGATACCATGGGTGTATCTATTAAAAATCTCTGAGCAGTTTGAATCTCAGTGATGTTGTCTTCAAGGTCGAGGTCACAGGTCAACTTTTCTGAAAACTGCCTCAGGAGGCTGAGGGGGAACGCCCGGAGCCGCTGGTATTTTTCAGTTTTTCGGTCACATTGAATTTTTATGCTGTCTGGGACAAGTTGAAGGTTGCCCAGAGGTCACCTGGTGGAACCTAACCTGTCTCATTGTGACTCAAAGCGACTGCCATCTGCAAATAATCACCATCTAATTTATTAATACAGATTGTTAACCGTTGCAACACATTAGAATCAGTCAGCACTGATGAGTGCAACTTGTCTGTTCCAGCACATTGTGAAACACACACCTGAGTTTACTGTGCATTACACTAAATTTCATGAAAAAGTGTCTTATTTTGCACCCGATATGTGTGTGATATTTGATACCAGGAATATTAATTTGGAATGAGAGAAGTAAAAGTCCTTCCATGAAACGCTGCCTTACCGTGGTGGAGGGGTTTGTGTGTCCCAGTGATCCCAGGGCCTGTGTTGTTGGGGGCTTTGTTGCTCCCTGGTAGGGTCTCCCAAGGCAAATTGGCCCTGTGTGAGAGGCCAGACGAAGAGCAATTCAGTCGACTGCTATGGATAAAAGAAGACCAACGGACAAGTGTACCCTGTCTGGAATAGGATTGCTGGGACCCCACCCTGGAGCCAGGCCTGAGGATGGAGCTGGAGGGAGCGTGTCTGGGAGCTGGGCCTTAGCCCATGGGACCTGGCCAGGCACAGCTTGAAGCAGCGACATGGGCCTGCCCTGCTGTAGGCCCACCACCCACAGGAGGCACCGTTAGGTCCGGGTGCAATGTGTGTTGGGAAGCAGACAGGGGTCCAATCCCTGACTACCAAGGCTGGCTATCAGGACACGGAAGGTCACCTCTCTGGTAGGGAAAGGAGTCTTGTGCATGAGACTGAGATACCGGCTTTATATGGTGGGGCTCACCTCAATGCAACATTTGGGCTCTGGAACCAATCTCCTAGAGAGAGGCTAGACTCTGTTCCAGGCTGCTATTGCCCTCGGTGAGAGGTGGTGGCCAGGGATGGATTTTCTTGTATCCCTGAACGGGTCCTGAATGTAGTTTGCACTTATGCGCAATGGTGTAGCGTCCACACCGCTGTGGAAACATCTTTCAGGCATTGATGTGAGTGACTGAGTAGAGTTGCGCTGATTTCCCATGTGGTGGAGTTTATGCTGCAGTTTCATGTCTCTTTTAAAGATATCTTTAAAGCGCAGCCGTGGCGTCCAGTGGGTTGCACACAACTGATGGTCCCAACCCCACTAAGAAGGCACGAAATTCCACAAACGAACCCTGACAGACTGACGCTGAGCCTGGTTCTGCCAAGTTTTTTTACAGGTTTCTTCCTGTTAAAAGGGAGTTTTTCCTTCCCACTGTCGCCAAAGTGCTGCTCATAGGGGGTCATATGATTGTTGGGTTTTTCTCTGTATCTATTATTGTACGATCTACTGTACAACATAAAGCGCCTTGAGGCGACTGTTGTTGTGATTTGGCGCTATATGAATAAAACTGAATTGACAGGCTCACCTGTGAGGTGAGACTACATCATGGAGCTCACTGAGAGAAGGCCGAGTGTTTGCCAAAGGGTGGCTACTTTGAGGAGTCTAAAATATAAAACATATTTAGAGCTATTTTTCCTTTTTTTCTTTTTCTTTCTACATAATACTGTAGATACATGTAGTAAAAATAAAGGAAAAACACTAAATGAGAAGGTTTGTCCAAACCTCTGACTGGTCGTGTATAATAATAAAATTATATCTTGCTCTGAGCTAATGTTGGCGTTGTTCTGATGTTTGAGAGGAAAGAGGTTAGAAACATCCAAGTCACTGTTTTCACTGCATGAGGTGATCCACATATTCACTGTAGGAAACAGTGAGAATTCAAATCCTCTTTATAATCTAACATGGCAAAAATGAGCAGAGCAAAAGCCAAAAGACATCAACCCAGTTTGTAAGTTCACAGTTTGAGCTGCGGTTCATCCCTCTGGTCTCTGGTGTAACTCTCAGTTCAAATCGTGTGAACTACTAATCAAAGGGAAACTCTTCATAACACAACGTTTACACCTCGTCGACCTTTCTCCCGCCTTTCTTGCTTGATGTCACATCTTCTGAGATGACATCTGGCATCTGTGCACTTTTACGTTAATTAGATGGATCATTAGCTCATTCAAACATGACTGTGCATTTCTACATAATCTCTAGGGATGGGTATCGTTTAGGTTTTATCCGATACCGGAGAACACAAAATTGGTCCAAAAACCTCTCATGTTCAGCTGTTTTTTGTAAAAAGATAACAATGTTAGCCTTTTCTGCAGCTATGGGGCATATATGGTATCACTCTTGGCTGGAAGCAGTGCTTAAACAATGGAAAAAACACAAACTTTGTCCAAAAACCTCTCATGTTTAACTGTTTTCCACTTTTTCTTTGGTCATTTTAGCCTTTTTGGCCAGGGTGAAGGGAGTATCTGCCATCAAACAAGAAGACAGCCGCATGTAACTATGATGATGTTTGCTAGTTCACCTTACATGCATTAATGTAATAACGTGGTTAGCCTACTCAACGTAAATTACACACGAACAACATTAAGCTACTCACGCAGAGAAGAACGGCTGCTGCTGCATCATCATCCGTCATCATTTCTGCTACACTGGCAGGGCTAGGGGCCAGGACTCTCCTCTTCGGGTTTTTGGGGGATGTTGCTAACTCCGGGTCCGATAACAGGCACCACACCCGCAGTAGATGTGCTCGGTGTGAGGTCTCGCAGCAAGCTATCAAATACGGCGCATTTCTCGGCTTTTAAAAAAACGCTATGCGTCGCCAGGTGTTTCATCGGATTCGAGGTGTTACCTCCTTTGACAGTATCACAGTATCAGCTTAAAGCACTTGTTGCTGCTGAGTTTGCATCTTTTGCTGTGAAGTACAGCCAGACTTTTGACCGCTTCGCCTTGGACATTTTTAATCTGTAGCTCTGCTCTAAAAGAACGTACGTACCTGGCCCCGCCTACTATCCTCGGAAACGTAAAATGATTGGCTAGAATCTAAAGTGTATCACAGCTCAGGAAAAAAAAGCACCGAAATAAAGCACCGAAATGTGCGCTGCTTTTCGGTCTGGTTACTACCGTTTATGTCAGAACCGGTGCCATC